CAAGTCATAATTCAGCCATTTTCTTGCCTCTTTCCTGTTCCTCCTTCTCCTATCACTCCGAAAACGACCTTTCCGATGCCAAGTTTGCCTTGCAAAACTGGATTTCAGGTCATGGATAGTGCGATGAGGGTGAAATCGAGCATGAGCTTTTTTTGATTGATGACTGGCGGTGTATCGAGATAGGGCCAGAACCCAGAGATAGATAGAGAGAGAGAGAGAGAGAGAGAGAGAGAGAGAGAGCGAAATATAGAGTAAAGGAAGGGAGAGAGCGAGCGGAGGAGAGCGAGAAAAGGTATAATCTTTCAGTAAGTTTTATATTAAAAAAGGAAAAGGTGCATTAATGAAAATCATCCAGGTGACGAGAAGACAGACAGATTGTCATCAGCATTTCAGTTTATCTGTATCTGTCTGTCCGTCTGTCTTCCTGTGGCGGCTAATTGTGATAAAATAGGTCATCCTCACCACCGCCACCCCCTGCTGCTCTGCCTGTCACTGCGGTGGCGCAGAAAAAGATACCCCGGGGTGGCGCGGGTGATTGTGTTGTTTGTTGGAATGATTGGAGCGCTCGGCTGGCTAGCAGGGAATCTTTAGGAAAGCATAGGCTAGCAGAGATTCTTTAGGAAAGGGCAGGCTAGCAGAGATTCTTTAGAGAGGGGCAGGCTAGCAGAGATTCTTTAGGAAAAATCAAGCTAACAGGGACTTTTAAGTAAAGGGCAGGCTAGCAGAGATTCTTAAGGAAAGGGTAGGCTAGCAGAGATTCTTTAGGAGAGGGCAGGCTAGCAAAGGTTCCTTAAGGAAGGAAGGCTAGCATAGATTCTTTAGAAAAGGGCAGGCTAGCAGAGGTTTTTTAGGAGAGAGCAAACCAGCAGAAATCCTTTAAAAGTAAAAGCCCGATAATCCGGGCCCAAGTATACATTTCTATGTGGCGGGGCTGAAGGTATAATTGAGGGTCGGGGCTAGTGAGTGTATGGCGAGAAGGGACTGGGATGACTGCGAGCCATAGAATAATAATACTCGCATCGACACTGGCCGCCCGTCAACTTTTTTCCGCCCCGACTAGCTGTCGCTCCACTGCCACCCCCGCTTCCATAGCCGCAAATTTACCGGGGCGGCTTTCTATTATATGGCGGGTCGCTTTCGCTGGCCTTCAAAAAAATTACTTTACTGGGTGAAAAAGGAAGAGGAGCATGACCTCAATTTGGATCCGTGAAAATTGTGGGAAATACGGAAAATTTTTTTTATTCCGGGTTTTTTGAATCCCAAAAGACAAGAGGGTTAAGGGGGGAAAACCAACCAAAAGGGCAAAAATTTTTGGTTTTTTTTTTTTTTTTTCTTTTTGGTTTTTAAAACACAACCTCCGGGGGGGGGGGGGGGGGGGGGGGGGAGGGCATATTTTTTTAAAAGCTATCGAAAAACGGTAAAATTACGGAATCACGAAACAAAAACTCGAACGAAAGCAGCTTGGAAGATTATATCATGTGTAGATTCCTAATACCTTCAAAAGGTAGAGGAGCATGACCTCAATTTGCTACCATCAAAAGTTAAAAAAATATAGAAAATACTAACGTTGGAGACAAATAATTGATAAATCGAAAGTGCTATCCGGGCTCGAATACCGTAATCTATCTCTGTCAACAGTATTGCTATTTTTACGCAGAAATGTAGAAATTCAAGGTGCCAGGCCACTTGACAAGCCAAGCGATCTTGTTTTAAAGACTTCAAACCAGTCACCGCTATCAACTTACACGAATGCCCCTCTCACAATGGCTATAAGCTGATAGCCAATGGCCGCGAGAAAAGGACTCATTTTGTTAGGACAAGGTAGAGCAATTTTAGGGCTCTGGAGGATATCTGTTCATCAATAAATCGACTGGAAAATCAGAAGGAAAAACGGGGCTCTGTTGCGGCGCCTTTTTTTCTCCGGGCGGGAAAATTTCTAGTCGTAAAACACGCATCTTTAAGTCTTAAAATTTGTCAATTGAAAACCAAATTTATCTCTACTGTGTCAGCGCTTCGTTTTTCACACTCACTGCAGCATTTTTTGGGATAACGATGCAGCGTGCGAATGAATCAATCATCATCCCCGGGAATTTCCACCATTCCCTTTCAATGCTTCCCGGTGCCCAAAATTTGCACACGAAGAATTGCCAGGCAACCCCCCCCCCCTTGGCCGTCAGACCAAAGCTGAATGATTCGTTCCGGGGCAAAAGCAATTTTTCCCCGCAAAAAAAAAAAAAAAAAAAAAAAAAAAAAAAAAAAAAAAAAAAAAAAAAAAAAAAAAAAAAAAAAAAAAAAAAAAAAAAAAAAAAAAAAAAAAAATTAGATTTTTTCCTAAGCCAGAGTTATCCATTTGAAGTCTGGAAGGTGCGCAAAAAAATGGTTAAATTCCTATTTTGAAAAGTTATCTCGTAAATCCTCCCCTAGGGATTTCATTGCGTAATCGAATGCGGTATGGTGGGAGAGGCTGGATTTTTTCTTCCGGATCTCCAGTTAGATTCCATAAAATCCGAGGCCATATAGCGTCTTATCGCACCCGAGAAGCCCCTATCCGTCACCCGAAGCCGCAAAACAATTTTTGGCCCCGGGGGCCATTTTGGAAATTTCCATTTTTTAGGGCGATTTGATAATTGGCAAAATCTTAATGAAAAATTGACTTTCAAATGGTTATATTAACTTTTTTAAACCACCGGTTTTCGTGCTCTAACTGTTAGAAAACTACGAAAACCCCCATTCGTGTTTTGGCGCGTCGCCTAATTGCCCATTTTTGCAAGCTCAGGAAGTACCTGAATTGCTGTCACCCTTCCGCTTTAGCACCTGTTTACCGTAGCACCGCCGGTTGTTTTTGATCTCTGAAATTAGTACTACATTGTGCGTTCCCGAAATGCACCCCAGGCAAACCCATTTGGTCTGGCCACGTAACCAGGCGCGACCAGGGGGGAAACGCGGGTCCCGCCAATGGGATTTAGGTTTCACGTGGCTTTCAGATTTTTTAGAAACTAGACTCCGCTCCATTACTCACCAATTGGCACCTAGGAAAGTTTCAAATTTCTTTTTCCTCGCTCTCTCGCTCTCTCTCTTTCTCTCTTGTTCTCTCTCTCTCTTTCTCTCTCTTTCTCGCTCTCGTTCTCTCTCCCCCTCTCTCTTTATCGTTCTCTCTTTCTCTCTTTCCATCTCCCGTTTCTCGAGCTCTTTTCCTCTCTCTTCCTTTTATATCTCCGCTTTTTCGATCTAAATTTCGAAGCCAAGCTTTATTACATTTTGGCAAGACCAAAAACCCAAAAAGTCAAATTTTCATCGGAGTTGTTGGGGAATTCCTGCGTGTGCTTTGATGGCTACTGCACTATGCCGCCACGTTTTCATCAAATTCCGTCCCGTTCCATTGTCAATAGTACTATTTCGTGGCACATGTCGGTACCGGTCTCCAGCTGAGCGCTTAAGCCCGTGTCGGTGGGCAAAAGGACAAACGTCTGCTGCAATGAACGCGCATACCGTGCTGCTTAGGCTTGGGCTTGGGCTTGGGCCTAGGCTTAAGCTTAGGCTTAGGCTTAGCTTAGGTGCAATAAAGCACGAGTGCAAATCGGGTGCAAAAGCGGGCCGTCGGTCATTTTGGGCAATCCCGTGAAAAAGCGTGCCGAAATGCAGATAAAATCCAGGGATCCTTCGTGCCAGCTGAAAAAAGGTGGGAGATCGGCAGCAAATTCGGTTGAATTCCGGAAACGGCTGGTCGAACCGTGATTCAAATTTGCGAGTGGTCGACCCGAATTGCCGATTGCGCGTGTCTGGCGCTTGGCTAGACCGCCAGATCCCGGCTCAAAATGATACAAATGCCTGAGCCTAGGCTCAGGACTACGGGTCGAGTTTGTCTGAGCCTGTGCTAGGGCCTTACCAACACCAATGCCTATTTTTAAGGGTAAGGTTAAGAAGCATCTGTCCAAGCCTAAGCGAGGCCGACGCCTACGTCTAAGCCTAGACGCAAGCCTAGCTTTAAGCCTAAGCCTAAGCCTGAACCTAAGCCTAAGTCCATACCTATTCCTATCCTAAACCTAATCTTAAGCCTAAGCCTAAGCACATACCTAAACCTGAAGCTAAGTCCAGCCAAAGTGAAGCGTTTCGGCATGTATGAAACGATATAATCATCTTCTGCATCTTCTGAATCTATTCAGTGACCGGGTTTTCAAAAATTCCCCGAACCTTCCTCGCGCATCTTGTCAATCGCAATATTTCGTGATGTCGATTTATTGTGTGTCCATGTATCGGGCTATGATCCCGGTCTCCAGCTGGGCGCTTCAGCCAGGCACACCGGGTGGCTGGGCAAATTTTGAGCGTAGCCATGCGCTTTTTCGTTACGAGACCCAGGGCTGACCACCCGGCTTTAGTAATATTCTTGCAATCGATTTGTTATACATTAATTCCTAGAAAAACTTGTATTGTTGTGTTGACTCTTATCTTGCCCCCCACGATCATATTGTGGAAATTCTAAGAATCCTTATATTCGCTGTAAGCAGTAAGCCAAGCTCCGTTTTCTTTGGCGGGCTCATGAATACGAATTTGGTTGCTCACTCCGATCCATGATGCTCATTATATTCCTTGTAATGCGCCGCTCTCGGGCCGATAAAGCCCAGCGTATTGAAGCGGTTCGGAGAAACATTTTTCCCTTCAATTTTTGCCAGTACGAATCGTAATGAAGGGGGGCTTTTTCATAGCTAGCCGTTCATTGGAAAGCCGGGCCTTTTCGGGATTTTGCCAGTAAAATTATGCATATGCATTATTTCAGTAAAAAAATGTCACGTCGGTTTTCCGAGGCGTAGCAAAGTCAAGAGCGTTTTCCGACCTGACAAAGTGGTCCCGCACTAATGTCCTGTTTTTCAATTCGGTTCTCAGCACACAAGGCGCATAACTTTGGTCGACTACAGGCCCCCCGCTTCCAGACCTCCATTCCACTGCGAATTTTTACGCAAAAACTAGGTGATTTTTCAGGGGTCAACAAAATCACCCAGCGGATGTACGAGGTGCCGAAGAGGAGGTTTGTCTAATTCAGGGTGTCCCAATAAAAAAAACCCCCTCTAACGCGACGCCGAAGTATCCGATCGGAATTGGCTATACCATTCGAGAGCCCTTGAATTGGCGAATTTGCAACAATCTTCAAAACCATGTTTTGATTTAAAAGCCACACTTTTCAATACGTTTTTTAAAAAAAGGAACGGCCTTTGCATGGCCATAACGGCTACTTTCGGTACTTTAAACTCGAGGCAAATGAGCTCGCATGCATACCGGAAAATCTTGGTTGATAAAACAGCTTATTTAAATAAATATGGATTTGAAGATTATTGCAAGCTCGCCGTTTCAAGAGCTTGCGAATGGCTTTAACTATCGTTTGGATCCGATACTTCTGCGTCGAGTTAGGACGGGAACTCGTTTTTCCCCTTTTTAAAAAAAAAAAAAAGGAAAAAAAAAAAATTTTTTTTAAAAAAAAATTTAAAAAAATTTTTTTTTAAATTTTTTTTTTTTTTTTTTTTTTTTTTTTTATTTTAATATTTTTTATAATTTTTTTTTATTTTTTAGAGCACCATGCATACCGAATTCCAGATATGCCGCGATAGTCTTCTTTGTCGCCGTCTTTGTGATTACCTTTGGAATCTATACCGACTCACTGCCGACGATCCCGAATTTAAGGTATCGTTGTCATCTACCGCTAACCTGAAAGTGGTTTAGCATCATCAAAAACATCCCGAGCCAGCTGGGGTCATATTCAGGGTTGGTGATTTGTTCCGGGTTATAGACGCCAAAATGTAGTGAATATGAAGAGGAGATCACGCAGAAGAATGTCTCCATTTTCGCGTTTATCATGACGTTTCCGGATAAGCACACAACGAGGGCAAAAGCTGTGTCGGTGAGTATAGAGAACATTTGGTTCTGGTTCGTTCGCGGAACCATACATTCAAATTTCAGGAGACCTGGGCCCGAAAACTTGACGACTACGTTTTCACAACAATCAAATCCGACGCCAATTTAACCCATAAAAAGTATGACTTACCGGAACAGCGTAAATAGTATGGGTTAAGCTGGGAAATAGGCTTCGAAGACGCGAATCACAAGCGAACGGATCGACATTGGTTGTGGGACCGGATACGGGCCGGGTTCAGGCGGATGTACAAGGAGAAATGGGTAATTTTAAGCCTAGCTACGAAAGGAGCTTGTCAACATCTGACTGTAAATTTCGATCGTTACAACCCCTTTAATGTTAACGAAGAGCAAATAATTTAGGGTCAATATGATTGGTATATGAAGGCGGATGACGATTGTTATTATGTGATGGAAAATGTGAGAGAGGTAAGAGACAGATGGAGAGAGTGAGAGCGAGCGAGAGAGCGAGAGTAAGAGAGAGCCTGAGTGGAAGAGCGAGAGATGGAGAGAGCGAGAGAGTGAGAGAGAGCGAGAGAGCGAGAGTGAGAGAGATTGAAAAGCGTAAGATGGAGAGAGCGAGACAGTGAGGAGGGGCGCGCGTGAGTGAGAGCGTGTAAGAGAAAGAGAGTGAGCGTGAGTGGGTGTAAGAGCGAGAGATGGAAAGAGATGTATCGAGAAAGAAGGAAAATGAACTCTTCAGCTTCTGGCCCAATACAACCCTGAAGAGCCATGGTATCTGGGCGAGACCGTAAGCGCCGGCTCCTTTTACCCCAGCGGTGGCACTGGATATATTTTATCAAAAGCCGCCTTGAAAAAGTAAGTCTCTGGGACCTTAAAACTAAAGTAACACACGGAAGATAATTCCTCCCCTATTTTTGCAGGTTTGTCGACGAGCTGAACTCGCCGAACACGCACTGCCAACGGAATTCAGGTTCGAAATCGATTTTCACTGTAATTTAAATTTTTTCAGACCAAATGGAAGACATCCATGTTGGCCACTGCTTCACGCATCTGAACCTGTCCTTGATACCCTCAGTCAATGAGAAGCAGGAGCATACGTGGGTTTCTTAGCAAACGTCTCTAAGTTTCCTATGCTTAGGCTAATCCCAATCAACCTGAAAAATATCATGATCCCGGAGGAGAAGCGGAACAACTTTGCAAATTGGTACATCTCGGCGTCAAAGATTCCGGTGAAACAGGTGGGCCATTCGCTTAAAAAGGTGGATTAACATAGTGGGGCAAGGTGACCGTGACGCGTGAACGCCATCTTTTTAGGGCCCGGAATGTTGCGGTCCGAAGTTGATGGCCGTGCACTATACAAGTTGGGAGGAGATGTACATCTATGATTATTTGCTGTACAAAGTGAAGGTAATTGGATAATGGGTCTTGCTAAAGAACAAGAGATAGAGATGAATAGGTGAAAGAGAAACAGAGAAAGCGAGAGATGGAGAGATAGAGGGAGAGAGAGAGAGAGAAAGAGAGCGAGAGATAGATAGAGAGAGACAGAGACAGAGACAGCGTGAGAGTAAGAGAGAGACAGAGACAGAGAGAGACAGAGAGCGATAGAAAGAGAGAGAGAGAGAGAGAGAGAGAAAGAGAGAGAGAGACAGAGACAGCAAGAGAGAAAGAGAGAGTGAGAGAGAGGGAGAGATAGAAACGTATAGTAATATAACTTAATTGTAGTGTTGAAGTAGTGTGGTCTCTTAGAGCCTTATTCCAGCCTTGCCCGCCCCTTTAAACCGTTCAAGACCCCCCCACCGTTCGAGGTCATTCCAAGGGCTGGCTGCGAGCCCCGAATTTCTGCAATAAATTCCTGGGTGTAGGCCGCAAAAAGCTGGCGGTTGTCTGGCTAAAGAGGATCTGGAGAAAGCAGCCGGAGGGCATGGCGAAGGAAGGGGAGGGCGCGGTGTGCGTGAGCCGGGATAAGTTCGCCGCAGCTACGAGGCGGGGATCGGGAAGTTCGCATGCCCTGGGGGCACGAATTCAGCTGTTGCCTAGGATCAAGTATCGATTAGCGGATTAGAGTCGAGCCTGCATGGCCTATTTTTATGCAAATCAAGGAGCTTGGCGCGGATTGTAGAATTACTGAGTTGCTGAGGAAGCCAATGGAAGTCGGGAACCATTCACTAATTCCTGTACAATTTATAGCATCTCGATTACAAATTTGGCAAAAGCTTCAAGATTCCAACTTCAACACGAACACCGATCCCTTTTAATTCTAATTTCAAAGAGAAATGTAGCAAAATTACCATTTTAAAGGGCTCATGAGGGCAGAATTCCAAGCGCTCCCACGGACTCTGCCTTCGTTGCCTCTTTAAAACGCTAGAAATACACTGAACTGCAAACTGCAACTTGAACAACAGAATCCTCCTCATCATGCCCCCCGTTCTAGGTGGCCGGCATCGACAGGTCGAGCTGATCAGCCAGGGGCGGCGAGATGGACGGTGAAAGTTGCGGAGAAGCAGAGAAGCAGAGGGATTTCAGCCGGCTCCATCCTCCCCCCTGACCCCCCGAAGCGACGATGCCCCCCGGCCACCAGGCTTGCAGTGTGTGGCACTGACGGACCGGTCGACGGGGAGCAGGAGCATCGGCTCCATTTCTCTCCGCTCTCCGCTCTCTCGTGCTTTCTTGTGCGGTTTTTTTCTGGATCAACTTGCTGGTGTCTATCATTCTTTAGGATTTGGGTGTCTGATGGTGTTTGCCATGATTTTTTTGCGCCTCAGTCTTTCTTGCACGGTATTTCCGGATGTTTAAGGGATCGAGGTGGCTGAAGCAAGTTGGTTGTCAATTGGATACGATCTTGCCGGTCGCTGTTTTGCATCCGTTCTTTATCTCTCGCTCTCTCTCACTCTCTCTCTCTCTCTCTCTCTCTCTCGCTCTCTATCCCTGTGTCTTTCTGACTTTCACGTTCGTTATATATTTCCGCTTAGGATTTCTTTAAATTTTTACGGAAATTCCGTCGCTTTAAAACCAACTCGGCTCTCTTTAGCTAAAATTCTATATTTTTTCTATTTTCTATCTCGCTCTCTCTCGCTCTCTCTCGTTCTCTCTCGTTCGCTCTCTCTCTCCCTCTCTCTCCCTCTCTCTCCCTCTCTCTGATGTAGGCGTAGACATCGTCGCCCCGAGATGACCCGTTTCTTCCTCCATTCCTCCCCCTCAGGCTCCCCTCTGCTGCTTCTCCTCTTTCCCCCAGAGCCGCCTATTCACTCGATCCCCCCTCCGCCACCACCACCAAAACCGGCCATTTTCGTTTATACCCAATTCCCTCGATGGACACTCACCGTCAACAATTTTTGGTCGATTTCCTGCCCCTGAATACTGGTTCGTATGGGATCAACCTATTTTGCGCCTTTTTGCCGTATCCGCTTTGAAAAACCCATGAAAATTCCGGTTTTTCGATCGATGAATGTTGTTTTTACATTTGTCTTCCAAGAAACTCTGCTAGCTGCTTTTCGTGACGGTCATCTAGGGCAGGGTAGCAAAATTTGTTTGAGATGAGAACCTTGCAAGTTTAGAAACTTTTCGCTTACTACATTTACGTGATTTTTAAATTTTTGAATTTTTCAGTTTTACGGGTTGCCATTATGGGTGTTTTCCTCTGAAATAGATTATATTATATTTTTCTAAAAACAATACACATTATCCTTCTCACCCGACAAATACTTCAAAGTCCTCAAATACCTGATGTTACATCAATAATTTTAACGATGAATTTTAGACCCCATCAAGAGCCACCACAAGAAAATTTTCTAATTTTTGTTCCCGAAATGGACGGGCCGAAAGGCGGCCTAGAATTGGGCGTGCGAAGGCGGAAGAAGCAAGTGGAGATTCCGAGGAATCAGGATGGACTCTATCAACCATACATTAAGGATGGAAAGAAGATTACCGAAATTGCAAGGTTTGTCTTGATTCCGATGATTGTGTATCAGCACATCTCTCCCACGCTCTCTCTCTCTCTTTCTTTCTCTCTCTCTCTCTCTCTCCTCTCATCTCTAGTCTAATTCGGTTCAAGTGCCACGAATTCCCGAAATTACAATTAGAATGCCGATGCCTTAAAAGACCAACTAAATGCAAAAAAATCATACCGCTTGTCGATATTTTCACTAGAGAGGCCTTTTCTTTTGTCGGCGTTTTTCGATGTAGCAAAGAGTATTCACTCAAATTTTGAGCCCGATTCATCTCTACCGTTTCATTCTTTCGGTCGGTCGTTACCATGCATTCTTTTTGAGACCCAATTCTGGCAAAATCCTGGTGAAAAATGAAACATAAAACTTATCTTAGGCATAACTTAAAAATTAAAGTACATTGAAAATTTTCACATCTCTGCAAACTTTCAAGCCGACCGGGCCCAAAATCAAGGTGTTTGGCGTCTTTTTTGTAGCCACCTCCATAGAATTTTCATCAATCACTCACCAATCATCATCCCCGATCAAACACCCATGTGACGCCAGCCAGCGCGGCTTACGCCTTTTTTGTCCCGGATCGTTTAAGTGGGCTTAGGCCGGTTTTGGCATAGCGCGAGACCGTACATACGGTCGGCAGTGTACCATCACGTCTTTTGTTTCACCCGCCCTCCCTCGCTCCCTCTCTTTCTCTTCGGGTTTCTGAGAGCCTCCAGGCCTATCTCAGCACATCAGCCTGCCGTTTCTGTGCGCGTTTTCATAGCCCGAGGGCATGTTCTCCTCTCCGCTCGATGGCTCATGCTCAAAAATCTTGTAGATCGAGGGGTGAGATATCGGAGGGGGCGAGTCGAGCTGGGTGACCTTTGTTTTCGAGATATTTAGAGGGCAATGTCCTAGGGGCGTGAAATACGGACGTGCGTCTTGTCGTCTTGCGACTTGCGTCGTATTCCGAAAATTCGGGGGGAAATCAGCTTAAAGGTTTAAGTCATCTGTGGATATCTATGGAGAATTAGCCCCTATTTTTGGGGAATAGGCAGAAAGAAAGGCAGCGACTATTGCTTTTGCTTGATTTTTGAAGCTTACTAGCATTTTGTTTAATGTATTTAAAGTTTTTCCAGAAATTAAGAATAGGTTCAGAGAGGGAGAGAGGTAGAAAGAGAGAGAGAGCGAGAGACAGAGAGATAGAGTAAAATCTAGAGTGAGAGATAAAGAGCGAGAGAGCGAGAGCGAGACAGAGAGAGAGAGAGAAAGAGGCAGAGACTCAGAGTGCGAGAAAGTGAGAATCAGGGAGCGAGGGAGAGAGGGGGAGAGAGGAAATTATTCAAACGAAATTACTCAAATGTGCTAATACCGCAAAGTGCCATTGACAAGATGAGAAAGGATTGAAAACTCATCAGGACAAGCCGAAATCCTGACATATCCTCGACGCTAGTTTGCTTCTTTTTCACCCATTATTTTTGCGTGTCGAGATTCTGGCTTAAGATTTGCGCGTTTCCCTGTTAAAAAACCTCGACAACGCCTCAAATCGATATTACCAAATTTCAGGTTTAACCCAGTCGAAGTGTTCTTCGCCGGCTTCATCCCCCCGGTCGTCGGCTCGGTTTCAGCCATCGCAATTGCCCTCATATTCCACAATGACGAGATTTCAAACTACAACTGGCAGTGCGGGGTGTGTTTTCGACGTTTTATTTGAGCTTGTCAAAATTATATTTACAACTTTTAAGGTTCTTTTTGCAGCGAGCCCGTCTTCCCTCATTGTCCAGAATCATCAACCTGCCAGTCGAGAGGACGTTTTGGCAGCTGTTTCTCCTTTTTCACGTGCCACTCCGCGTTGTTGAATTGATTACGGGATGTAAGTAGGACACTGCAGGGCCATTAAAGGGCCTCTGAAGGCCGGAATCTGGGCTTTAGTAGGCTTGGCAACCTGCCAATTTCCCGACTAATCCTATCGATTCAGTCAATCGCTACGACCGACTACGAAATATCCACTATCCACGCGTGTGGTTCTACGAGCTGATGCGGTACACGTACCTTTATGGCGGGCTGGTCGAGCTGCTCTTCCTCTCTGGGCTGTCGATTATTGGAGAACGAGAGAATATACGTAAGCCATAGGTCAAACTGGTTAGGTCATAAATCCAATCGAAGCACGGCATCTTTTCATAAAATGCCACTTTCGCCAAATCTGGAGCCATTTTAATCCGAAACCTCCTCGAGAATCTTCAAAAAAAAATTTTAAAAAACTACGATAGCAATTCAGGAATGCACGTAATCTTCTTCTACGTGTTCGGCATCTGCGGTATCGTGTTTATGATAGCGAACATCATGTGCCACAAGCATTCGCTCTACTACCTCAATCCATATGTGAGTCGTTGGTAGCTTACATGTAGAGGTTGTGAGGTCACAGACTCCAAATCGGCTCATAATTGGTGGAAAAATCAAATAAAATACGGGGAACAGGATGTGATAAAAATTATCTGCCAATGGGCACTTCTGTTTAATAAACTTTTCATTTTAAGATTTTGTATGGAAAACCGCCTAGAATCGGGGCCTGGGTCGCCAAAACGGTCGGGCACAGGGGAGAACTCTTGAAGCCTTCCCAAGAGCCCTTCCCCGTCGGATTCGTGGTGCAGTGGTAGGGTGCAGGGGTGACAGGTCAAGGGTCGAGGGTTCGGACCACGACAATATTTTTAATTTATGCTTTTTGCTGTTTTCGCTTTTATTTTGCCGTGAGAGGCTCTAGAAAGTGTTTTCGAAAGTTTTTCGGGCCTATGAATCCCTAGAAGTTGCCTAGGCAGAAAAATAAAATTTCGGAAATTTGGAAGTTTTTGTAAAAAAGGTCTACCTAGCTATTCCGGCTCGATGAAAACCAACTGAATAGTTAATAATAATTATTTTTGAACCGGAATTGTAAAAATAGAATTCTTCCGGGAATCTGATATATCTCGGTGCGCAGATCTGAAGCGCCTAGGAGCCAGAACCACCTATTTTAAGCATTTTCCAATTCGGCCAGGATCCCGGGCCATAGGATAGGTCGTCAAATTTTTCATGAAAAAATTTTTTTTTTAGATTAATTTTTTTCGTGTGTGGAAAGGTGTCTAGTGTCATGGCTGCTATGAAAATTCGATCAAAACATTTTTTCCAAGCCGTAAGGCCCGATAAAGCGGCTAAAAGTGCATTTTAGGAGCACTTTTTTCCATTAAAATGAAAAGTTTATTAAACAAAAGTGCCCATTGGCAGATAATTTTTATCACATCCTGTTCCCCGTATTTTATTTGATTTTTCCACCAATTATGAGCCGATTTGGAGTCTGTGACCTCACAACCTCTACATGTTAGGCTTAGCTTAGCTTAGGCTTGGATTAGGCTTAGCTTCCGCTTAGCATGGGCCTACGATGTCGTGTTCATGCGTCATAAAATTCCACAACTAGCGGTCGATCCCCTTACATTCCAGCACTTTAAAACACCCCAATTCCAGGGTCCGCTCTCCTACCGGCTGAAGATCCTCTTCTGCTCATTGTACATCATCTCGGTGCCCGTGCTCATCGGCTCGTTTGTGCTGTACTGGAAATTCTGCATCACGTGGGGTACGTCCAACTCAATCGTACAGAGTTTCCGTCCACATAACAAAGTTTCAATGCTCCATTTTTCAGCTTATGACGTGTTCGCCATCTGCGAGTACTCCGGTGTGTTCCTCAACATCATGTATCACGGCTGCGCATTTTTCGATATTCGGCACAAGGTGGGTTTGTATAGCTTAAAACCGTCTCTGCTAGCTTTAATACGCCTTCTTATCATTAAAGGTGCACTAAAATCCTCCCCAAAAAACGCGGCGGCCCCGGGGAATTTTTTTTTTTCCGGGGGGGGGGGGCCCCCTCCCCCCCCCCCCCCCCCCCCCCCCCTCTTTCCCCCCCCCCCGTGTGCCCAAGCCCTTTTCGGGGGGGGGGGGGGGGGGGGGGTTTTTTTTTCGGGGGGCGGCCGGGACCCACCTTTTTTTAGGGGGGGGGGGGGGGGGGGGGCCGGGCCACAAAAAAAAAGCAGAGAGGCTTTAGTTTTTAATCCACGTAGATCCAGAAAAATCTGTGCTTGTTTAGCTGCCACGAATTCGCAGGAGTTTTCAATCCATTTCGAGAAATTCCGTGGTTTTAAAGACCGTCAGAACGATGAAAATCTGTTGATAGCAGTTGCGCACCGGGCGGGGGTCGAACCCGCGATGGTTCGCTCCAGAGTCCGACGCGCTAGCCACTATACCACAGGGCCAAGTGAGAAAGGGTGTCAGAGGCGCCCCAAACCCCAGTGGGCCTTTGGAAACGGGGCACTACTAATGACGCCTCTCTCCTCGCGTTCTTGGGGGCCCCACCCTGGGCGACAGTGTGCGTTCCAGAGTTCTAGCAGTCTTTAAAGAACTTATCATTAAGTTCAACCGTACGACCCAAAAAAGTCATATTCCATCGTCAATTTCCAGGTGACGTTCACCGTGCGACTTGTTGAAGACGCGTCAAAACAACGAGAACACCGTCCACCCCCGGAGCCCTTCGTGGTCGATGAACACATTGATGATGACACAGACAGCACCCCGTCCTACGAGATGATCGTCACCAAGGACCCGAATGGCAACGAAGCACGTCGTGTGGATAAGGGTTGACGTGGTGGAGACGGAAGAAGATAACCGACACCGGTAACCCATTAAAGGTTGCTGGACGTTTGATATGGTTTTTGGACAGTTAACTAATCTTAACTGATTAATTTAATTTTCAAAATTCAAAGGAATATCTGAACCAAAAGTGCTAATTTTATCCGCTTTGGTTAGAGCGCAGTTTACCCCTCCCCCCCCCAGCCGGCACCCAATTTTTGGTCCCGGCTCCCTGTTCATCTACAGGTGTGTAAAGTATACCAAAATGTTCGTCTTGCCTGTTTTGGTATACTTTCACCTGTAGTAGGGGATCGACTAGTTGGGGTGGTGGGCCGGTCGGCCCTTAAGCCTCCGCTTTATCGTATCGGTCGGGCTACGGTGTTAACTTTTAATACAATCTGTTAGCCTCAAATTTGGATTTAAAGGGACCGGCAAGACACTGGTTTAACAAATGTATAGGATTTCATAACAAACAATACTAGAATTTTTCAGCTATCCCCGATTCTCCCAACCCAGAGGACGACGCACCAAAACTCGTCCACCCCAAGTCGCCGATCCTTCGAATCTCAATTCGATGATTTTTCTCTGTCTGGTATCTTGCAACCTAAAGCGTATTTTTGGGTTTTAACGAAATTAAATTTTGGAATGCGAAAAATACGCTCAATTTGCGTATTTTCTACCCTGTTTATGTACTTTTCCGGTTTCGCCCGTTGCCAACTTGCCACTCGGCTTTAATTTGCTCATCAAAGAATTTTTTTTGGCTTGCTAGCATTTTTGTATTTTAGATTTCATGTGTTTAAGCTAATTTACATAATTACCGCTTCTTCAAGGTATGGTCTATGTCAAAACGATTGGCGCTTTTAGTTAATCGAACTTTTGTATGTCACATATATTTATGTCAAGGTTAGAGTGCAGTTTACCCCCCCAGCCGGCACCCAACTTGTGTATCTCGGCTCCCTGTTCATCTACAGGTGGGTAAAGTATACCAAAATGTTTGTCTTGCTCTGGAGAGTATTTTTGTATACTTTACGCCCCTGTAGATGAACAGGGAGCCGAGATACGGTAGGTGGGTGCCGGTTGGGAGGAAGGGGGTAAACTGCACTTAAGCCTATTTCAATTCCGCTCAATTCCTCGCTTACGATAGTCATTTTCGTCCGTGTCTTTCGCATTTCGCATGTTTTTTTCTATTGGTACGTAAAATATTTATTGATTTATCGAAATATAATGACATATCCGCAGCTACAGTAATCTTTGGTAATGTGCCAAGGGGAAATATATATCATTGAATTCGTGAATTGCAAATAAATGAAGTTTTACAGGATACAAGAACCAAAAAAATAACGGTAATGAGATCCGCGGTAATAAAATGACCTTAAAATGCGAACAAAATAATACGTAAGATTACTAATGCCGCTACACATCGTTGGGGTTTATTTTGAGCTGTTACCGGGGGTTTAGGAAAATTACGGATGGGGTGGAAAAATGCCAAAAATCTGGAAAAATGGAAGGATGGGTAAAAAATCATTCGTTGTCCTCGATATGCGCGCACGACTCTCCCGCAAATGCACAAAATTCACACGGGGTTTTGTAGAGGGTGGATCTGGCGTACTACTATGTACAAAAATCACCTTTGCGAAATACAGTGGAAATCAAGTGTGTTAAGTACCAAATTTTCCTATAGGTAAAGCCAATTCGATGAGAGGTGGTTGGGGAGATAAAATAATACAAAAAAGAGCAAAAAAAATGCAGAAAAACGGACGGCTTCTCTACCAGACACGGCATTTGCCCGCCGGGTTCAGCGGCGCGCCCAGTGGGCACTTGTACGCCTTCGCGAACTCCTCGAGGTTGGAGAGTACCTGGAAAATTGGTGGTAAAACTCGTATAAAAGGTTAAAGTTAGCTAAAACTCCCCATAAAATTTTTAAAATTTTGTTTTTAATCGGAAATTTGTTGAGCATAATTTTTCGGATCGGATCCGAAAAGCTCGGTTTCCGGCCGCCAAACCGTCAAACAGCGCGGTATTTTTAATTTTTGCCATTGGAATCCGGGTAAAGAATGCAAAGTCAAAACCATCATGTGTCCTGGGCGGGGCCAGGGCGGAATTCCGCAAAGCGGTTTTGCAACCCTGGTTGGGCTGAACGCTGCGAAGCGGTTTGTTAACCCTGGTTTTCCCGAAGATCCAAAAACAAGGCAAAGTGCCGTCAACTTAATTTTGAAAAATCACAACTAACCGTCCTTGAAACTGATCGAAAACCAACTGAAAACCTAACCCGCCCGATGCTTCACGATGAACAAGAAATTGGAAGATTTAAAGTTTTCTTTAATTGTTCACTAAATTCATTTAACCAGGTATTTGATCAGATTTGGTACCGTCACCCATACCCACCTACCCGTACCGTAAACAACTCTCAAAAACAGACCCCGCTGACGCGGAAGAGCTCGGGCGAATGCTCGTCGGTGAGCACCTGCTGGATGGCGGCCGCCTCTTTCTTGTGCCCGCACCAGAACTGGAAATCAGCATTTGTAATCTTTACTGTATTTCGGCGTAGTGTACATCAAAATGGTAATTAACCCTGAACTTACATGTGCATATGAGAGGAAGAACACTTGGTCATTGGTGAACATCTGAAGCCCGGGCAAGCGTGGCTCTTCGGACCCTTGCGTATTGATGTATTTCCGGTAGGCCTGTGATAATTGTATTTAAGGCAAGTAGCAAATCAACTTACCCTGAACGCCTCTTTGACGCCGCCATTGTCGGCAATGTTTTCCCCTTGCGTCAGTTTGCCGTTGACCTAAAAAAATTCCAGTTTTTAGCTTCAGAATTCTGGAAATTTCGAGTTGTTTCGAGGTGTAGTTTTCGATAATCAGCGTCATAGGTAAGTAACATACCTTAAACGGTGTCCCGGGCACGCTGTAGTTCCCGTACTGCTCGACGATGCACGTCTTGCGCTCGTTGAAGCCGGCGAGAGAGTTCTCGTTCCACCAGTTTTGCAGGTTGCCGTTCAGGTCGTATTGGCTGCCTGGAAGAGAGGTAAGGTAGATAGGTATTAAAAACTACAGTATGCACCTAGTTACGGTATATAAAGGCCGTAATTCATACCCTGGTCATCAAATCCGTGGGTGATCTCGTGGCCGATGACGGCTCCCATCGCTCCGTAGTTGACCACTTTGGGGTATTCCCCGGAGAAGAATGGGGGCTGCAGGATACCGGCGGGGAAGGCTAAAAATGACATAGGAGTGTAAGTATATTTCTCTTTCTCTCTCTGTCTCTGTCTCTCTCTCTCTATCTCTCTCTCCTCTCTCCTCCCCCTCTCCCCTCTCCCTTACCTAATGGCTTCCAAAACTCACTAATCGCATTCTTTTCTGGCGAGTAGAAAGCATTGACGACAGCCGGCGACACGTCGAACTCCTTCTTGTCGAACGGTTTCTCCAGCTAAACCTCATCAATTTCAGGTCCGAAAGTTGCTGCTCACCTTGAAGAACTCCTTCTCCTGCATCCAAACCACCGCCTTGCGCATCAGGGCAAAGTAATTGTCCTCGGGGAGCAGATCGAGGCGCTCGTACTTCTCGTCCAATTGTTTGTTGTCCAAGATGAAGTCGGGGTAGCCGATGTTGTTGATCATCTGCTTCGCCTGAAATTGTGAACTTGTTGAAAAGGTTGGTTATAGGGACAACTGAAGAATCCAGGGAATTGATAGCCAAACCCACCTTCTGAATTGCCACCGCTTTCGTCGCGCCGTCCATCCAGTCGTTCTCCGTGACAATCTCGCTGAACGACTCGCGCAACAGGCTGATCATCTTCTGAAAAGCAGGAGATTGAGCTGCTTGGAATGGGTGTTTCATACCAGTGCCTCCAACTTGTCGGTCGATTGGAAGTGCTGGCGCACGTAGATCGCTCCGGCGGCGAGTGGGAGGAAGGTGGATGGGACCTGGGCGCACTCCTTCCACCTGGGGCTCCTCTGCTGCTGTCCGGTCATGACACGCATTAGGTCCTGCTTGATGTTCTCGAAGCGCTCGTCGAGGAACTTCATGGTGGCCTGGGCGACGCGCCAGACACCATAGTTTCGAATCAGTCGCGCGTTGGACATTTCGAGGAGTTGTGATACCTTAAAAAAATATTTTTAACGTTCAGTTATGCATAGCTCAGGCTTATATTTAGACTCATGCTCAAAGCTTAGGCTACCAACCTTTTTCAGGTACTCAATCTCCGTGACAATCACTTGGGTCTCGTTGGTGAAGTAGTAGGTCATATTCGAAGGGGCGATCGCGGTGAAATAGTGCAACCAATCGACCTGAGAACAAGCACTAATAGCCAGGTAATGGGTACGGTACCTGGGGCAACATTTTGTACAGCTCGGCGATGGTCAGCTGGTTGTACATGCGGGTGTTGTTGCGGCGGTCGTCCTCGGGGACCAGGATCTGGAAGAAATGAACCTATTTCAGAGAGCAAATATGTAGAATAATTTTTTGAAGAGGCAATGACATGTATACGCGCAAAATTTTGCTTCTCTGGCGACTCACCCTTGCGATCTGTGTCTCAAACGCGACAATTTCCTCAATCTCACGGTCCAAGTCTTCGTGATTCCGGTCCAACTTCGCGTCGACAACCAGGATTTTCATGACCTAATCAAGAAAGTTTATTTTACCCTGCCGGCAAGGTTATACCTCGCTGATGTACTTCTTGTAGGCGTTGATCTGGTGCGAGAACATCGTATCGTTCAGGTAGTAGTCGCGGGACCCACGGCCCAGGGTAAGGCTGCTTTGATCGACCTGAAAAAGAAATAAAGTTATACAAAATGGATGATGTGTCCACATCTACGTTTGTCAACGCCCATACTCACCGTAATCATATTCCTGGTGGTGTTCTTGGCGTCGGCGTAGACGTAGATTTGGAAGAAGAGGTCGGAACCGAAATGTTTTCTCGAAACGGCAAGGAGCGACGTCAAAAAGTCGTGTTTCGTTGACCCGTTTTGGGTGTCGGCCGCTGTATCCTTGCCGGTGAGCATGGGC